ATATTTTTTTGACCACTGACCACTCTATATATTACGTTGGGTCGATTTTGCCTGGGGGAAAATAAAAGTAATATTAGGTCCAAGCCAATTGTTATTGGCCACGAAAGAAAACAGTGTATATGTACTGTTATACCATGTCCCCACCAAAAAGTTAACCATTTCAAAGCGAACTTAACCACATCACTAACTATTGCTGTCCACACTAGGGGTGTCAAACTATCGATAGTCACACCATCGATAGTTTTGATAGTTTTCAGAAAAACTATCAATATTCACGATAGTCTCGAAAAAAACAAAACTATCGATAGCACTATCGATAGCGCTATCGATAGCTCTAAATCAGTTAGGTTGCTTTGCTTTTACAGGATCATAGTGAAATAAATATTATCCTATAAAAGTTATAATCATTCAAAATTAAGTAACTGCTAGCCAAAATACTTCTCTTTTTAGAAAGTTCAAAAACAAACACAAGTTATACAAACAAAACAGGACTTACGATTAACATATGTATGTATAATTTCAAAAAAATTGGGAGAGATGATCGATAGTCCTACTAAACTATCGATATTTTCGATAGTATAAGAAAAAACTATCAATGAGTATTGATAGTCTAAAAAAATTTAAACTATCGATACTATCGATAGTGCTATCGATAGTTTGACAACTCTAGTCCACACTGCGGTTTGAGGGTTTTAGTCACAATATAACCAGTAAACAACCTTCGGTGAATTTGGCGACTGCCTTCCTCGGGGATGAATATGCTAGGGATGTATTGGTACACACGCCTTCCAAGCACGCAGGGTTGCTTTTTAGAAACAAAAAATAATTAACTCCAAATAGTTTCAAAAAGTATAGTGTAAAACGAAATTTATTGAATAATTCCACATAAAATGGTATACTTAAATGACGCATTTTCTAAACGATTTAAATTAAACGCATTTGAGAATTGATAGAAAAGTACTACGGATTGTAAATTTTTGTTAACTATGAGGTGAATGAAAATTTTCAACCCGGCCTGATGGTTTGATTTTATTACTAAGGCGTCTAATAAATTCATGGCTTTTAGTTCTAGAAGAATAAATGTCAGTAAAGACAAGTCTTTTTTGTATAATTTCTGATTTTAATTGCTCAACTTCTTTTGAACCAGAGCAACTGTCAAAAATTTCCAGCTGCAAAAAGGTAACGAATTGGCACAGCAGAAATGTAAATTTTTCTCGCCATAATAAAAAGTTTTTTCAACATGGAACTTTTCTACTAATTGACATGAAATTACTATCCCAACGCTCGGAGCGCTGCCACTGAGGGCCTTTGCCAACTGATTAAAAAGAGAAAATTTGGAAAGACCAAACAAAAATTTTGAGATTTCTCGTTGTTAATGCGAATGCCATAGTTTTTACCTAGCTCGTAGGACTACGCAAAATTTTGACAGCTTGTAAATATGTATACACATAAAGTTGTTGGCGGTAATAAGGAGTCAAAATTAAAATGGAGAAAAGAACAAAAAGCGTAGGTTAGTTGTCAGTTATAAAATAAATCTAATTTATTTTCGAATATTTGTTTATTCTTTTTATTGAAAGGCAACCACTCGGAAAAGCTTGTGTTAATTATATTGATAACAGAACCTGGCAGCTCGCACGTTGTCTAAATTCTCAAGTAACATAAAGTCCACAAAAAAATAAGTACGCCATGTATAAATTTTAACAATACACAAAAATAGAGCTTTCGCACGAGTGTTTGTTTGGTTTTTCAACACCATTTATAATTTTCTTTTAATAAAATCACGATTTGACAAATACTTAAATTTATTTATCTAATAATAATACAGCACACAACCCTGAAATCTAAGAAAAAGTCTGAGGAAGGCCATTAAATAGCAGCACACAACCCCGTGCCTTCCTCAGGAGTGAATATAACTACAACAACAACGACTACTACAACAACAACCCAAAAAGGTTGGTTACTGTCTATACTGTGGTGAACGAGCATTCGGAATACCGTTTTGCCGAAGTCAATATCAGTATGACATGAACGAACGAATAAAGATCACCCAGCACGGCGTGCGAGAAAAAAGTTATTTTTTTGCAGTGACGTCATTTTTTCGCCGCCATGTGAATGAAACGGAATGAAACCTGTGTGTGAATGAAAGAACCGATTAAAAAATGACGTCATCAACCATTATTTTTTTTCTCAAATGCAATTACAAATACACGGTTGCCGCGCTGGGTGATCTTGTTAGTTGGTTCATGTCAGTATGAGCTGTTATAAGTATCGTTCACTTGTGGTGGCTGTATTTGCAAGACAGTTCGCTATGCGTTGTTGTTCAGTCATCCTCTAATTTCTTTTAGGTATCGATACTACTAAGTCAACGCGCTGCTCAGTCATACAAAGCAGCAGTATTGATTGAGTATGCAATAGTTGGCGTTCAACGCCAGGGTTCAGATTTGCCCCATTTTAGCCCCTCGCTCGCTCGTTAGTTTACTCTGAGTTTGCGCAACTCACGAGCAACAAGCGAGGCTGTTTGCAAACGAGCATGCCTTAATACGAGCGCACGCGCTGAGCAGCCAGCGAGCGAGTAAGCAAAAGAGGGCAGCGNGACTAGCAAGTAATCAGCTGATCGGTGTATTTGACTATTGAAAATATTCGGCGTGAATTTTTGTTTATCCACTTTAACAGCTGCTAGTTTCTGCTAGTACAAATTTTACTAGCAGAAATTAGCAGGAGAGCCAAAAAAAGATGAGCGTGAGAGCGAGAGAGAGCTGCTAGTTTCTGGTAGTCTTTTGGGCTAAAAAACGCTTTCCAGCTGAAATTAGTGAAAATTGTTGAATATATCATCTAAAGTGATAATGGGATAAACTGCTTCTTTCATGAACGCACCTTGGTAAATAATTGCATAAAACTGTTTGAGCCAATTTACACTACGACTTTTCACCCTGCGTTTTTGGCACGTTCCCTTTAAAAAAAGTCTTCGAAAATCCTCGTGCATTTACACGATGACTTTTTCTTTGCGGCGTTTCTTGCGTATTTTTGACATTTAAGCGTAAAATTTTCTTTGGTCAACTCTTTCGTTCTCATTTTTAAAGCGGAGCTAATCGCAAACTCAAAGCAAAAATACGAAAAAGGGAACTCGATAAAAGCGAAACGCCCAAAAAAAACCCCTCGATTTCGCTCACCGTGCGTGCTTGCTGCCCCGCTGACTTCGCTACACTTCTTGCCTACAAGCTCGACACGCATGACTTTCCACACAGGGTGCAAAGTTATCGTGTAAATTGGCTCTTTATTATTTACTTTATATGGCTAGCTACGTTTCATTCTTACCTCGTACATTGGGTTCATTGGCTTTTGTGTATTCGTAGCAAAAGCGACCTATGAGGATTAAATTTTGCTAAAATCTATATATTTATCCACCAAAGTCGTTTGATAAAGTGATAAACTTTGGTTAAATAGATTTCGGCATAAATGCAGAATACGTACAATTCTCAAATTAAAAAAATTCATATGGGATAGAGATCATTGAGGTGAGTGTAACGATGTATTTTTTTTTTTTTGGGAAACAACAACTACAACAATTATTAAAGGTCAAAGTTCAAATTAAGCATGTTTTTTAAATTAATATTTCTCGAAAACCTCTTCAAGGATTTGTCATTTGATAGAGAATTTAATTCTCTTTAATTTGATATACATATTTATACATATATCTTTTATAGTATTCACAAATATCTAATTAATGTAGAAAACAATTTCTTTGTTTTAAATCACCTTATTAAGGATTTATAAATATACTAGAAATTAATCGAGTATGAAAATTCTTTAACTTGGTATACATATTTCTATATTACTTGTTCAACTTTCTATTCTACTTTGTGAGGGTTATAATCCAAAAGTGCGGCCGAAGGCCGCCTGCGCAGAAAGGTGTTCTCTGCAAAAGGTGTTCAGCGCCTTTTCTTCGCAACACAGAAAGAGAATTCTACTTTGTGAGGGTTATAATCCATAAGCGCGGCCGAAGGCCGCCTACGCAAAAAGAAGTTTATACAAAAAAACCCTGTATACTTTTTTCCACATTAATTCGATTTTTGTGAAAACTATAAAAAGGTATATGTATAAATATGTATACCAAATTAAAGAGAATTAAATTCTCTATCAAATGACATCAAAATTGTCCAATTCCTTGAAGAAGTTTTCGAGAAATATTAATTTAGGAAAATGCTTAATTTGAACTTTGACCTTTAATAATTGTTGTAGTTGTTGTTTCCCAAAAAAAATAAATACACCGTTATGTTCACCTCAATGGTCTCTATCGATCCTATATTTTTTTTTTTAATTCGAGATTTGTAGGTATTGTGCATTTGTTCCTAGATTTCCATACAAAGTTTGACAGTTCATTTATCAAATGATAAATTTATCACTTTATCAAGTTTATCACTTTTGTTGAAGACTCCTGAAAGGCTGATTCACATACAACTTTCTTCGCTTTGCTTGATAGTTCTTTGCTTTGACATATAAGATCGATGTAGGCATATGCAGGAGTATGCTCACATAAAAAACGTTTGAAGCAAAGCAAAGCAAAACGAAGCAAAATCTTGGGCAACTCTCAACTTTTGCCCGCTTTGGCAATCAGCTGCCTACATGTATCTTTTCTCGTGCGCTTGCATTTGCATTTAATGACAAAAATAGGGTAAATAGTAATTTTTATTGCTATTATTAAGGCATATTATTATATAGTTATCTATTTTACAGATAAAAAAATATGGGCGAAAAGGAGAACGCAATAACTGTCAAAGCGTTTATTGTAGCATACCTTCTGCGTTTCACGCTTTGTTGTCAAAGTTTGAACTGTCAAGCCAAGCGACGAAAAAAGTTGTATGTGAATGGCCCTGAAGTGACGGAGTGAAGGCTTCCAAAGTGAAGTGAAAAATTTCGTCACGCAAGCGAGATTTAACAGCACGTGAACACGTCCGTTTAGTGTTCTCGCTATAGAAGTAACGAGTAGAAGAAATTCCTGGAAAGGGGAAATAATTCTATCATTTAAAATTTGGTATGAAAGTTTAATTTGCGGAACCGCTTCGGAAATATAAAATTACTTTTCTTAGCTATTTGTTGTTTAGTGTTACAATTACAGTTATAACGGATGACACAAATATTTTAGTTGCAGCTGCACAAATATATCTAAAATGCATAATAAAGCAGATTTAGGAAAACGCCAGGAGGAACCCAAGCAGGATAATGCGCGCTCACGTGCTGAAGCAGAAGCTGCTTTGGAAAATGAGCATCTACGTTTACGCGAAATTGCTGAAACAGTACGAGGAGATTACTACGAATCTTACCGCCAAATGATTTTGGAATTGAGGTTAGAATCGTATTTTGAAATGCAAAAATTAGTATAAATGTACAATGCACGCATCACGCAGTGAAATTTTTCGGCCGTGGATTGTATGTAATGCGTTTGGATTTAACGTATCGTATTGCACAATCCCCGGCCTGAAAATGAAATTGCTAGTCAACTTGTGCCTCAAATCTGCATATTCAGCTTGTTAGTCGTAAGTATGTATGTTATATATGTTTATAGTTACATACAAACGCTTGAGTTCAGTTCATTATGTCTATTATTGAATGTTAGAAATAAAATAAATAATCTGTAGGACATTGCCATCAAAATTATTTAGGGTCAAAACATAGTGGAGCGGCGAGCAAAGCTTCAATTACAAATCGTCGCCTGGGTAAAAGATTGTCGAATGTTAATTTCGGCAGGTTGTGGGATTGAAGTTTGGAATGCAATTTCTCGAAAACGGGAAGATAGATTTTCTCCAAAGTCTCTGAAAATGTTGCTAGTTCACAAAATTCTTAAATTATTTAATTTTTAATGTTTATTGCTAATTAGTTTTGAGTTTATGAAGGATTTTCTTTGGTCAAATTTTGTCGTAAGCGCCATTTGTCCGCAATTTATTTATTTATTCATTTATTGACAGCCTTTAAAGGCCTATAACAAGTCTGAAAATTTACAATATTTGCTTACTATATTATTTGGTACAATTTTGGGTTTATAGTTTTTATATTGATATATGCATACATTACATCACAGGATCCACAATCATACATGAAATCCATTATCTTATTTCACTACATATTCTGTTCTTTACACATTTTTTTGAGAGGACTATCCTAACTTTTATCCTGTAAAAATATATATACATTTAAACAAGGTAATTGTATTAATTATATTATATTAAATTATATTAATTATATGTGTGACCGTGGCTGTCGGAATGGACGGGATCCCGAGCAGCCCGAATGTTGGGTACTGGTTAGGTGGGCGGCCCGAAAGGACGAGTTCCAGAGCCGCACTGCCTGTACCATTGCTGTGGACTTTATTCCAAGTCGTACCTACACTTCAGGCTTTGTGGTCATATGTAAAGGCTATAAAGTAATTTGTGATCAGTCGGAAAGTACTAGTTTCCGAGCCAATCTATCTTTAGAAGTTCCTGTTATACAAGTGGTCTGAAAGGATCTAGATCTTGAGCCGCACTGTAGGGCGAATGGAAGGACTAGTTTCCATGCTGACCCTCTCCACTGTTCTTTACGCGCTGTAGACCGAATGGAAAGGACTAGTTTCCATGCCGACCCTCCACTGTTCTCTACTGGATCAAGCAGCAATCCTTTAAAATAAAATTTGTTATCATTTCACTCTATATATATATATTGCAATGGTGGTATAATCGACTTTTGAATTGTTGTAAGCTGTTGCAGCTTCTTATATTTGCCGGCAGTTGTATGTTTGCAAACCTTTATAGTACAAATCTTGCTTTAGGATTTCCGTTTGGCCTACCTAAAGTTGTCACTCAAATATTTCGGAAGAAATATAATATAAATAAATTTCATTGAGTGGAAGAAAATTAATGGTTTCACATTTAGCCAGTTTAACTCATTCAACATTGACGAGATGCTGGTATCGTATCGGGCGCTAAGAATAGGGGTATTCTCTGAGTCTTGCAAAGCCCTTGTACGGTGCACGGATTGCACGGTTTGCAAAGCTGTCCCATACGAAAACCGGTTTTTACCGTGCAATCCGTGCAATCTGTGCACCATGCAAGGGCTTTGCAAGACTCAGAGAATACCCCTAATATGTCTCATAGCCCTCTTTTGCATTTTTTGTAGCTTATCTATCTGCGTGTCAGATGTTATAAACAAAATAGTAGGGCAGTATATGGAGTTTGGCTCGACAATTGATCTATAAACTATGACTTTATATCTCCTACTTAGATGTTTGCATGTTCTTTTCATAAATCCATTTTTTTT